TGATAATTCGATATCTCAGTCCAGAAGAGCCATGCACCCAAACCCTTCTAGACTTTTTCACTACTCAGTAGGACCTATCGAATGGCAATGGTCCCGAGCGAAAAGCGATTTAACACCTAAAGAGGTTCCCTCGTAAGTCAAACATAAAAACGTAATACACACAAACAAAAAAAGAAGAGCAAAAGAAGAAAACAATAAAAACAAAATTTTCTTCATAACTGTTATAGAGATTTATAATATTTACCCTATGAAATATTAATAATAAATAAATAACTCTGCTCATTTCGGTATACTTTTTCGTTCGGGTATATACACACGCACAACACACACACACACACATACACACGCACGCAAAAACGAAAATAGCAAAACTAGTTGTAAATGAAGGTGTGTTGCGATATCAAAATATATCAAATTACATGGGCAAAATAAAAATAAAAGTAAATAAAAATAAAATAAAATCTATAAATAAACAAATGTTTCGGTGTATTTTATGCATCAGTGTCATTGAGCATTTAACCGAATAAGAAGCGGACCACCAGCGTTTGCACGAATCGGTGTATTTCGTACAGATTCAGTCCTAAAAGATAGAAATTAATCTACTATTAAAAATGATTCATCAAATCGCTTTAGTTTACCTCGAGACATCGTAACTGCTCAATGAGTTAGTAGAACTACTTGATTTTTTTTGTTTCGAACGACGCCTTAAAAACGAAAGTTTTTTGGATAATTTTGTAGATGAAGTTGGCGTTTTCATCAAATTTTTTTCTTCGAGTACTGCATTTCCTAGTTGACAGAAAAAAAAAATCAGATATAAGATATCGAGTAAAGACATTGTAAATGCCATAGAATTGTGAATTAGAGAGTGTCAAATACCATTTTCTCGTTCAACAGTTATTTCCGGTGGATTTAATTTATGTCCATTCGATTTCTGTTTTGAATTTGTACGAAACAAATTCTTAAATGACTGAGAAATCGATCGACTACGACGTACGGTTGGATCAGTTTTTCTTGGCAAATAGACGATTTCTAGAGATAAAATATACAAGATGATGACTTTTATACAAAGTTTGATAGTAATCCAATAATAATAAAGTAAGTATATATTTTGGAGAAAAAAAAAATGAAAAAATATAAAGATTTCAAAAACCTTTTTTTTTAACTAAAACTTTAACTAAATAAATTTAATAACCTTTCATTCATGCACATTAGTAGGCGTCATTTTTTTTCATTTTTTTTATTAAGCTTAAGCCTGAAGAATAAGAAATTCAGTAGAAAAAGAAAACTTACGCGAATCCGGATTATGTATGACTAAAATAATGAATATCTTTATATTCGCTATCTATTGAGTTTTTTAAAATCAAATATATTCTTCTTCTTTTTTGAGCTCTAAATTGTATCTGCTGATAATATTAATTTACCTTCTGAAAGATTGTATGGTGAAACGGGTTCGGATGACGTTGGTAAATTATTGATACTACTATTTTGTGAACTTGCACTTTGATGTCGATTTTTTTTACTTTTTGGTAATGCTAAATGTTTTAATGAACTCATAAATGATTTTGATTTTGGTTGTTGGTTATCTCTTTTTTCACTCAATATTGTTGACGTAGTTAATGTTGTTGGACGTGTTAATTTATTATGCGGTAACGCAAATGAATAATCACGACTCTATTTAAAAAAAGAAAATTAATTATAAAAAAGAAAATTAATTATAAAAAAGAAAATTAATTATAAAAAAGAAAAGAAAAACAAGAAATATTTTGTTTTTGTTTTTCAACAAAAAGTTTATTTACTTCAAGTGAAGAAATTCCTATAGAATTATAATTTTTATGAGCATCACGATAAGATGATACACTTGAATTAAACGCGCTATCATCGAATGATTGTTGTATGTAATCATCATCATGTTTGCTAACTTCTAAATAGAAAACATAACGTTTTATCTAATAATAAAAGAGTATATGAATAGATAAACTGCTATACTAATGAAAAGAAAAACTAAAAGTCTAAATACCTCCTCTTTCAGAACCCGAATTCCAAAACTGACTATCATTAATACTTTCAATATCATATCCATTATTAGCTAAACGCATTAAAATAATTAACAAATAATTCCCGCAATTAATAAAGCCAATAGCAGTAGAGCAATGCAAAGCATAAAAAATATTATATAATAATCTTTCACTTACCAGCCAATGTTTCTTCTTCTGTCAACGTCGAAAACTAAAATAAAAAATAGAAAAATTTTATTTCTAAAGACTATTAACTTAAAAGTCTATAGTATTTCTAACATTGTTAATTAAATAGCGTCTTAATCTTAATGACACTTCTTATTGAATAATGTTTGCATTTAATAGTTTCGATTATTATCCAGAACATATAGTTACACATAGTTTTTTGATAGCACAAAAGAAAAATAAGAAATTAGATGAAAATTAACGACGAAAATAACCCGAATGTTAGTTTTTCTTTTTATCACTCAGCGACTAACGCCAAAAGATCAAAGTAAAGTTCACGGTCTGTTATTTTTATGTCAGACTATTAGTACATATAAATATAACTTTGCACATTAGCTATTACGCGATTAGGCATGTACCAGTATTTATCAGTTGCAATTCTGTGTTGTTGTTTTTTACCAAACGCTATTTGTACGCAAAATAATTTTCTTGAATCTTTTTAACTAATGGATTTTATAGAGCAAACATTTCTCTACGAAATGAGGTATGACAGTATTTTTCGTCTTGATTTAGTAATTAGATAAAAAATGGTTACTTAACGCCCCACGACCAGTACTAATATTATTACCAGTTAATGCCGTTTTATGGCTCTTTGCTGAGAAGCAATTGCGACAACAATAAAAGAGATGACGAGTTCCATTATGTTTCATTCTGGAGAAAAAAACATTTGCTCTACAAAACTATATTATCTAAAAACTTTAATATTTTGTACTTTGTAATCAATTCAAATTCAGAGAAAGAGTTAAATATACCGGTCAATACTAGTGTTTAGATATGTGTGATTATTATCGAGATTATTGATACAATAGTTTCTATATGACCCTAACAATGAATAGGAAAAAAGATAAAAATAGGATTTAGATACCATGACAAATACCAGAATATCTTAAAAACGCACTTGGATCCTTTATTGAAAGACTAAATTATACTTTTGCAAGACATTAACTAAATTAGAAAAAATGGACACAATTTCTATAAACCAGTTTTATGATAATTAGTTTTTAATATTTCTATCGTTTTTAAAAATATTTCTATTCAACGTTTCATTACAAATTTTTTTCGATGATTTTTCTGTTATTCATTTGAAGGTGCTTAATAAATTTTTCATCTATTGTAATAATCATTTTTTACCATTGAATAAATTTATTATGTGTATAAATGTTCCAAATCGGTTTGTATGTCATTTATGAATTATTTTTTCGATAAAAAGAATGTTAATATTTTTTTCATATATTTTTTTGTAATGATGGATAACTTTGCATCAGGCAAACGTTACAAAAAAAGATTTATTGGTTTTAATATTCAATCAATTTTACCTTTATTTCGAAAAATTAACCGATTATATTTGATTTTTTCGTTTTAATTATATATATATATATGTATATATGTATGCAGTCCATCTGTAAAAAATATTTTTACAAATAAAAGAAGTATAAGTTGAAGAACAGTGATGATGACAGTGAACAGTTAGTTTATATATTTTAACATACTTTACAGCTTTAAAAGCGAAAATAATTCATTTTTAAGAAATTAGTGTACCATATATTTCTTAAAAAAGAAAAATTTCTTCACTATTATGGAGTATATACGATTGCACTATCATTTCTCACTTTGAAGATAACGTAAATAAATAAATTTCTTGGAAAAAATTTTTGACTATAAATATGTCTGACGAAGCATCACGTGAAAATATAAGCGAAAAAAAACGATGATGTCTCTCATGAAAGAAATGATTTTCTTAAATGTTCTCGTGACTTATATCGACTTTGTAAACGATGTGTTGTATAATCAGACTGTTTCGATTGACAACGTTTTGTTTCGTTTAATCGCTGACTCGTTATATTAACATAATCAGGCATAGAAACTGACGATAATACGTTTCTATTAATAAGATCGGATGAAGTTTTTGTCTCGGTATTCAAATCTGATTTTGTCTCGATATTGAAACCTGTAGAAACCATTGGACATAATGGAGGGGATGTTTTTAAAGAAGATGGTGTTTCCTGCGAAGAATCTGATAACATAAAACCATAACTGACAAAGGGTTGAAGGGGTTTGTGTTCAACATCAGTTTCTACCACTGAGCACTTAACTACTTGATTTTCACGTAATGAAGAATCGTCGAATGATACATGTTTAACAATAATATTTCCACATGAAATTTCATTTGATTTCTGAATATTTTCATCTACTGGTTCATTAATCAGACCAGAACATGAGTTTGATCGTAGTGTGGTGAGTGGTTTTAACGGTGGATAACATCGTTGATAATTTTGTTTTAAATTTTTAGATTCAATTACATTTGGACTTGTACATAAATTAATAAATATATTTGACAAATTTGTTTCACTTCGACTATACACCATTGCGAAGAAAATTTTAGCTTTTTTGACGACTACTATTATAGAACAAAATTTTTTCGTACAATAAATAAGTCACCTGCGTATTTATTTGTTACTTAGTTTGATTTGTCATACATATCGTCTCTTTTTATCCCTCAGCATAGTGAGTGAGAGAAAAATTTATTACTCTATCGATTAAAAATATGTTATTTTTCTATGATTGTATTTTTTTTATTTTCTCGTATGTAACAGGTACGTGACATTTTCGTATGGTTCCTTTGGCATCTTACCGAAAACGTTCTATTTATATTTGCCATTGTCTGGAGGATATATCAATAATACAAATATTCTACGAAAAAAACTCTTTCAACATCCATATGAGTGAACCAATAATTTTATTTCATAAACCAAATATTATTCATGAAGAAATATATGGATAAATCCTTTGATTGTAGAGAGAATAGAACAGAGGTCTAACTTGCTCTGATGGATGACGAATCTACTTTTAAACTCTTTTCACTTGTTTTAAAACAATAAAGCAAATCTCTTTACAGCGAAAGGTTTTATCAAAGAAATCCTTGTGCTATTCAAAACTTGTAACGGACATGAAAGCCATAAACAAAAGAAAAGAAGTAGGAAAAATATGCCTGAAGGACATTGATAGAAAATGTAGATATGTGAGTTGTTGTTGTTTTTTTATGAGAAATCAAAGTCATTTGATCGTTCGTTCGAGTTAATAAAAGCTAATTTTACTGTTCAGGTGCGCAAACCTAGATTCTTATTATATCCCTAGATTCGATTAGATTTATATTGTGAAATGTTTTGTAGGTTAAATTTTACGATTAAATGATTAAAACATTAAACGTTCTATCTCTAAAGTTCATAAAGTTTTATCCGATATTCGATATTCTACAAACGTTTTACTGACTAATCTCAACAGAAACGACTACCTATTTTCCCTCAAAGCGCATTTCTTCAAACATTAACTTTAACTCTATCGCCCTAGCACAGCTTGACATGGTAGTTAAGAACATTTTCAAAGATGCGTCACCTCATTTTTTTAATTGAGGTGTCATGTCTCAAATGTGTTATAATATGGACGCCACTGTTAGGTAAGGTTTACTAAAAAAAAAAGAAGAAATCAAAGATATTGGAAGATAAAATGTTTCTCAACGTTTCTCTTCTCTCCTTTCAACGTGATGCTATCATTTTGCTTTTTTATTTGACAGACGACCTTGGCGATAACTGACGTCATCTTTTACTATCAAAAAGAGAATATGGAAAATTTCAGCGAAAATTAATAAAAGAGAATGAATAATGACTTCGGATATTTAACTAAAATTGCACGATATATTATAATTATCAATAGTATAATAGTATCAATTCTATTAAATATTAATTATCCTGATGTCAAATATTTAAAGAAGAGAAGAAAATTATATCTAAGAGGTATTTTTTCGCAATAATATTAATAACTTGTGACGTTGATAAACTACAAATAAAGTATATTGTCCCTTCAGTTATGATCTTTCTTAGTATATCTTTGTTAAAGTGGACAACAAGGTTAACACAAGTATTTACCTTGAAAAATAGAATAGTTCTTTCAACTAGTTACATAATTTTTTTCATACAATAAATTGATATTTCAATTTTTTTTTCTTTTTTCATCTAGCGTACGTATCTTAATGCATGATCATATAAACAACTTAGCAAAAAATGAAAAACTCTTATATTATCGAACTGATGAAATGAGTTCTGTACAATATTTTTCACCATCTAAACAACAGTTATACTGAGAAAAAAAAAGCAATATTTATCTTACTTCGATTCGAATGATACTATCCGGATGATTTGGATTGATTATAACATCTTGTTTATAAACTGTACTTGTTACATAATGAAATGGTATTGAGATATCAGCATAGAGACGTTCTAAACAGTTAAAAATCTATATATGATATTGTTTAATTCAAATGTGTATACTACTATTTACCATAGGATAATTTTTTTCCTTTTTGATCAATAATTCGTATTCTGATTTCATTACTTTGTTCATTACATTCACTAAAGATAAAAAAAAATATTATAATCAAAATATTATTTATTACATATTTTACTTACAAGAAAAATTTTTCATCCCAAAATGGATTTGGTGCTTTTCCAATCGATGTTTTATGTATTTGATGTGGATTATTTAATTCCAATGTACAATACGGTTGATCAGCATCTATAAATTAAATACATTTCGATAGTCACATCTAACAAGAACAAATTTAACAACAAGAAAATCTTTATTATTATTCTCAAAAGTTTTCAAATATATGTAATAGGTTTTTTTTTTAATAAATATTTTAGACAAAATGTATCTTTACAGTTTATCAACGTGTTTTTTATATTTTTCTTGCAAAATCCAAATTTTCAAAGTAGAAAACCATTTTTAGTTTCATTCGATTCATTAATCGTTAAAAACGCTGATATATACACACATATATAAGAGAAACTCAAATTTAATATCAAATTGATTCTGAATCGAAACAATTATTGAATGTTTTTTTTTTCTTAACATAGTTTTGAATCGAGGTAAAACAATATTCATGTTTGAGATTACAATCAAGAATATTTTCATTCTAAATTGAGACCAGTTTTTAACTCTAATTAATAAGTATGTCCAAAAAGTGTTCTGAATTATGAAAAAAGCATCATTTTTATCTCATTCAAACATAAAATAGAAAAAATAAATTCTTTTATATTTTTTTTTGTGAAATTACCATGTAAATTAGTGCCTTTTACAATTCGTACAAGTAATTTTTTTTGTAATAAATTATTATTTTGTTGGTGTTTTTGTGGAGTTGTATTCTGTGTATCATAATTGTAATTAAAATCTTTGACAGTTGTTTTTGGCACATTATCAAATCTATTATCATTAAAAATTTTTGTTTGTATTTCAGGAATATTTGTTGTTGTTAATTTTGTAGATACTAGATCATTTGAATTATTTAATGGAGAAGATGTTGAATGAGACTTTAATATCATAAAATAGAATATATGAAATAAAATTTAAATATTTCTCTCTCTCTCATATTATACCTTATCTCTATCTGACAATGATAATGTAGGTGATGATATAGTTACAACATTGTGATCCGATATTTGAAATGTATATCGTGCACGTGCTTCATGAATACAATTTTCAATTGCACTTTCAATTAATTTTTTTTCATTTGATGTATAATTCTAGAATAATTAAAGAATAAATGAAATGTATACTTTATTTTTAACATCGTTATAATTCTTACATTATTTGGATCGACAAGTTTTAAATTTGTTTGTAATTGTTTTAATATAGCATCTATTGAATATTGACGAGAACGAACAACGAGAACAAGACTAAGCTAGAGAAGAAAAATATAAAAATAATGACAATATAATAAGAGATCCATAAGATATACTAACCTGACCGGTTAACTTTGGTGATTCAAGCGTATATTGACGATCTTTACTCAATACATTAAGGATAAGTTCTTCTACTTCAAGCGAAGCTTTAATCGTCTAAAATAAAATAAAAAAATAAAATATTGTTTTCATTTGATAAATTTAATTCTACGTACAATCTTTTCTTTTGATAACAATGGTTCTTCCGTAGAAACATTTGTTACTTTTGTATTTGAAAATTGTAATGCTTCAACTGTAAACCGTTGCTAGAAAATAAAATAAAAAATAAAATTTATTATATAAATACTTATTTATTTCAAAAAATAAAATCTGTTGAAATAAAATGAATGTAATAAATTAGACAAAAATAAAGAGACTTGATCCGTATCAATAATTTCCCGTTAGAAAATAAACTTATCCTTGTGTTTTATTTTTACATCTTATCCACAAGAAGAGATTTTTGTTCAATATAAACAATTATTTGACAGAACTAAATAAGTATCTATAATCAATAGGAAAAAAGAAACCACTTAACAAAGCGCGCAGTATGTTGTTAGAAAAACACACACACATACATTATAGAACTATTTCTAAGAAATAAATGTAAATAATATCGTCTTAGCGTGTAGATTAGGAAAGAAATATTAGAGAAAAATGGATAATATTTTATAGAAATTTAGTCAATATAATTATATAAATAAATTCTTAAATAAAACATCTATTATTAGTTAATATGAAAGATTTAATTAAAAATTATGAAAGATTTTCTAGACAGTAAATTTAAAAAATCAAATTTTTATCTTCTAATATAACTCTGTAATACATATTATATATTTAATAAATAACAACATTTACCTGTGTATATCTACTATCAGTTGGCGATGTTGTTTCTAAATTAAATGTACTATTTTTTAATGATTCAAGTAATTCATATTGTAAACGATGTTTTAAAATTTCTGAATTTATCAACCATGTAAAAAGATCATTTGTTACATTTGTTGAATAAATATTATTTGTTAATTTATAATTATTACGATTATTACGAATACGATTTAAATTAGTAATTTGTTTTTTTAAATAGGATAAAAATCTATTCGAATATTTCCATAATATGAATAAGAGAATAAATATTAAACTAATTAACAAAAATGGATAAATTAAATGTTTATATTGAATATAAAAATCTGAGACTAATAATTCAAAATTTGTCTCATCAATATATTTATGAGTTACATTATAAATATGATGAAATAAATTTTTTTGACGTTCAATAAACAATGTGATTATTTCACTTTTATTCATCTTCTCTACATTTAGTACTCTGTTGAATGATACAAGATGATATTTATTTATATGAGAAATGGAAATACTAATTCTGCCGTCATTGAGTATTTCTTCTTTTAGACAAAGCGAAAGGAGAAGAAGAAAAAAATTCTTGGAGAAGTAATAATAAAAACAACAACAACAAAGAAGAGAAAAAAAGGAAAAAAAAACAGTTTTGTTGTATGATTATTGATTAAAACTAGTTCGCGTAGTTATATGTAATTATCATGGTGACGACGCCGTCGATATATCGTCGTTTTCCCCCCCTCCTGCATCATACTTGGAATAAACAACGAAACAAAAAAAAAAGATTTTTTACGGTGCAATCTATACAATGTGTGTATGTATGTGTGTGTTCTATCGTCTTTCTTCATATACATAACGCAGGAAAATAGAATATGATTGATAGACAAGATTGAATAACAACAAAAAGATTATTAATTCAACGAAGAGAACAACAGAAATATTACAGGTTCTTTTACTACCATACAATTCTATCACTATATCAGCAACTTAAATACCCGTGAGGGTACTGAACCAATTTTCAGACTAGTTCATTTCATGCAAGAAAAAAATTAATTTCAGACGTATGTCTGTCTCTTATTTAATAAATTAATTGATACAGCATGATAAAACATATATGTCATGTGATTTTTCAATTAAATACCCATTCAAGTCCAAAAAAAATGTTCATGAGTATTGCGATCTTTTGTTTTCTTCAATAGTAAATGTTATATTAATTTAAGTCGACTTTTTTGCCTTAATATGACTATCTGATCGCGATCGCGTTACACTCCGATGTAGTCACGATAAGAATAATGCGATTCAGTAAATAAAAGTATTGAAAAAGAGATACACAAAAAAATATAATTATATTATGGTGAAGAATCAGCAAATGATGTAGTTTGAAAGAAATAGAGCATTCATTTTCTATAAATCGATATTCAATAGAAATGTAAAACAGCCTTCTTGAGCAGCACATTGAAGAAAAATGTTGCGATTATTAAAAAATGAACAATCAGTCACATAGTTTATTATACAACTTTTACCTTCTACATCAAGACATACAATCATCTCTCTCGTCGAAATTTAATAATCATCTGAAAATGATACTGTGAAAAAGTATCGAAAGCGCACTTTTTATGTAAAAGGATTTTATGAAAATGTTTTTTAATTACATCAAACACACTTACCCAGTGAAACATAAGTTTTATACATAACGAGGCTATGTCTTAGTACTGACATGGCCCGAGTTTGAGTTTTAGGAACAAGTTCGAACACATTCTTAAAAAATGAGGTGTTAGAACGCGTTTGAACATGTTATTAGGGAAGGAACGTAGTAGATTCTAGATTCACAAGAGGAACACGTTCTTAGAAGAATGCGTTTGGATGGAACCTTAAAAAAGAACGTGCCTGAATGCGTTCTTCTTAGAATGTCATGGAACACGTCGTGGATGAACGGATCTTTTTCTTGTTCGACTTTTAGAACGCGTTTGAGTACAGTTATCAGAACGAAATACGTCTGAACGCAAACGAGAGATGGAGCATGTACAAACTAGACCAAGTTTTTCGAGACGAGTAGATTGATCGACTCAGATTTTGATGGGGACGCTTCCCTATCGAAATAACTCGGACATTTCATTCCATTCTTTACCATCGTTCGAGCGCAAACTTTCCTAGAGCGCGTTCTCCTGCGTTTTCCCTTCTTATTCGCGTCCGAACCCGTTCTTTTTTTATATTTTCGTCTACAAACGCGAAATTTGAAGGTATGTGTTCGAACATGTTGTTTAGTCAAAAAACAAAAACGCGTTCGTATAGGTTCTTCAAAAGAGAATATCTTTAAACATTAATCGGGAGAAAAAAACTTAACTTAGAAGTTGTCAAACTGAATATGAATATTGTATATAAGAGTGATCTTGAGGTTCTTAGGCGTTTTTCATCTCAGTAGAGAATCTTTTTTGATTATGCTAGTCTTTTTTGAATTAAATAGACAGAGGAAACAAACGTTGATATAAGCTTTATTGTGTCAGAATACAAGCGGAAAAATATTTCATTATAATATTCTAAACTAATACTATCGAAAAACAAGATCAACTTTGTACGAATAGAGATTCGAACATATGAACTTAACTTTGCAGTACACTGCAAAACTAAATCCACTGTTCTCGTCTATACTCTGTAGAACGTTGAGACTTTAAATAAATTTCTATTTCTATTTTTATATTAGTCTGAACGTTACAGAAGTGAAAATAATTTTTAAATTTTGTACTGCTGAATCTCATTGACAATTGGGTTCGCTGTTGATTCGCTATGTCTGTCTAGAACATGCTCATTTCAAACATCTGTTCGAGACGGTGAGAAAATACGAAGATCAGATGGATGATAGAAATTATTTAATAGATCACAGACAGTTTTTTTTAGAATCTTATTTGATATTTTTTCTGTAATAAGATTAAAAAACGCAATTAGGGAGTTTTGAACAGAGTGCCAAAATCTCTTGATTTTTTTACTTTTCTCCTGATGAAAATTCTCCTGATTTCAAGAGCTGATTTTTAAGATTTTCCTCTCTGATTTTCAATCGTTTTCCTGCATCGATTTTGGCGACATTTTGGACTAATAAAACAGCGGAGAAGAAAACGAGAACTGGCGTACAATACAGTCATGTTGCATAAAAAACCACAGACGGTGTAGCAAACAGTTTGTTCTCCATATTCGCTTTGTTTTTTTGGTTCTTGCCGGTTTCTTAAGAAATATTTGTGTCTATTTTGTTTATACTGTTAAATCAACAGCTGGGAAAATACCAGTAGGTTAAACTACATGTGTTTATATTTCTCTCTTTTTCTTTGTTTCGCTTGTAAGACAGACCTTCTCATTACTTGCTTGGTAGAAAAAAGTCACAAGCGTTTGTAGGAATGAAAATTTTCCTTATCCAAGAAAAAACTGCCTGATACTCTACTGACTTTCTCCTGATTTCGAAAAAAAAGTCCTGATTTTCCTCCTGAATTTTTTCTAAAAATTCAGGAAAATTCAGGAAAACCATTTTTTTATTTGAGCAAAAACGGGTTTTCGGCACCGATGTAGTCCGCTCATTTTGTATTTTTGCTACTTCTTATACATCTTCAATAGAAAATGAAGGCATATTTGAAATCAGCAGACAAAACTGGACCGAATCATGTGTTATTCAAATGTTCTAAGAAAAATCGCTCAGCCATTCACCGAAAAGTTTTTCTTAATATTTGAGTAACACATGATTCGGTCCAGTTTTGTCTGCTGATTTCAAATATGCCTTCATTTTCTATTGAAGATGTATAAGAAGTAGCAAAAATACAAAATAAGCGAACTACATCAGTGCTGAAAACCCGTTTTTTCTCAATGTTTACCCTCCTGCATTTACAGTCCATCTCAATTGCTCTTTACCATACAAGAGAGAGAATTGAATTCTGCACAAAGTGAGACTAAAATAAAGTTTAAGTCTTTGATCGTTTTTTGCATAGAACGATTTTATTCAAGCAGTATCAAAAGTGTACCTTAATTTTTATACTAAAAAAGTGTAGTTCTCAAGGAACAACTTATTTTTTCTTTTAAATGTCTGAATTTGTAGCGCAGAATTTAAGGATGTTTTTCTGCAAGTGTGCTCTTGCGGCAAGGGTTGTTAATCGAGCTGTAACAGCTCCATTACATGGTTGCCAAGTCTTCCGATTTGTCGAAATTTTTCCGACTTCTGGAGTTTTTTTACTTTTTTCTGAACAGCACATATTCGTAAACGAATTAAGAACTAATTGACATGACGAAACTAATTAACATGACGTCATACTTAAAGCAGTTCTGTTTTTTCTTTTTCCATGTGTGTCACATATATGATATATGTGCCTATTTGAAAGATAACCGCACATGTTGTGGGTCCGTTCTGTGATATATATTGGGATAGTACAGAAAAAAATCTATTCATTTCTTTTCTTAGTACCCTGTCTCGCAGCTATAGCTCGAGGCCAGATTAAGATTTTAGTAAAATCGACAATTTAAAAACGCACAAAATACAAAGTTTATAGGCGCAATAACGATAAGATTAAGCGATTCTCTATAGACGATGTACGTTATGGTATATGAGTCATGATTAAGTGTATTGCGTACGTTAAAGGACATTATTATAAAAATATTTCAGTACAGAGACAGAATATTTTATTAACTCGTTAATATCCTATCAACATTTGCACTTTGGTTCAGTTTAGCATAACATTCCGTCTATTCAGCTCTGCTAATTGTTCAAAATATTGTTCTTCACTAATTACATTTGTTTGTGTAGAATACTAGCGAGTTCTTTCGAAAACTACTCGAAATTCGAACTTATCTACTTCAGTATCTTCTACAAAGATACTCTAGCATTACAGCGAGACAGGGACGGATCTACTTAGATTTGGTTATGTTTGTAGGCATAGTCTAGTTATTTATCTCTAGCTGTATTAATTAATTTTGTTCAAAAGTCGTTGAAAGATCGTATACTTTTTGACATCAACGATGACAGGGGACATTTCCGAGAATGATTTTCCATTAGGCTCAGTTGAGAATAAACATAAAAAAACACGAAACGTCACGAGAAAACGTAAACGCAACGGTGTTCCTGGCACAAAAAACACACAATCAATGCTTGAAATATTAAATATGTTTAACTGTTGCTAAATATGTTGGTATCGTTACCTTCTTAAAGTATTCTGGAAAAAGTATTCTTCCGATTTTTAATACTTTTTTTCCGACTTTTTCCGATTACCGTGCCGTGAAATGCTAGGAACGAAATTATGCCTCTCTGGATAGTTTTATAAAAAAACGTGAAAAAACAGTCAAAAACAATATCAAGATCAGAGTTCCCAGATGGTCCGCATTTTGGACTATTTTCCGCAATTTGTCCGCATTTTAAGCATTTTCTGCTTTTGCTGTTTTTCCCCTGTTCATATAAGATTTAAAAAGAGAATTTTCTATCTATTGAGGATTCTCTTCTCATCCTATTGTCCGACTAAGTAGCCAGTCACTCGTCAATTTATAATTATTTCTCATCAACGCTAGATCTACTTAAACTTATTCATTTTAATCAAAAATATACAGTCCAAAAACAACGTGTCAACTAAAATCGAGACTTACATTTCTATTTGTTGTTCTCTTTCGTTTTATTGAATAAAACCACAAAGTGCTAGGGAAAACATTTTTTTGACTCTCTATGCGTGAAAACGGCTGAAGTTAGACCATGAAAATGCGTTTCCGTTTTTTTCCGCATTCTGAGAAAAATTTTCCGCAATTTTCCGCATTTTGGAATTTTTATTCCGCATTTCTGACCTGAGCATCTGGGAACTCTGATCAAGATAGTTTTGGAATAAATCGAGAACAATGATAGCTAGAAGGCTGCCGTTTTCGTTATTCGAAAGAAGAGACTTGAATGCATTCATTCTAAAGAAAAAGATCTTTTTTTATAGTAGTGTTTCCAGGCTATTTTGGAAAAATCACTCTGAACCTTCAGTAACTCAAGTACGAATACCTTTGTTTTTTATATGATTCGATAGTTCGAAGTGTCTTTCTACAAATAAGATTCCTTTGACATTTTAATTGTTTGGGAGAAATATCTGATTTGTCTTAGGTTTAGTGTGATATCACATGTGAGAATAAAAATGAATGAACACCTGTGCTACACCTACACTGAATCTAATCCAGTTGTGGTAACATTTATTTTTAGAAGAAATTTAAAAAACATACTGAAAACCTGTATTAGGTGAAATAACCCACGGAAAACAGCAATAATGATAATTCACTCAAAACTTGATTCAAATTAATTCACAGTTTAGGTAAATATATTCTACCAAAAACCAGTTCAGCGATGTTTGACCTTCTATTTCCGACAAATACTTCTCAATGTTTGTTAATGAAATGATCCAAATAACGGATCATTTTTGATCAAAATGTTTCTGCTTCCGTTTTATTATATGAGATATACTTCTAATATTCAGATCAGTTGGAAGAAGGGCTTAGTTCTACAAATATGGTATTGACTTTCAGTTGCAAAGAAATAAGGTTTATGTTGGTTTAGCGAGGAATTTACCAGTTTGCCAAAGGTTGTAAAAGTAATCCTGAGACACTCCTCACCTAGCAATGGTTGGTGCAGAATAAAAATAATGAACAAAATCGAAGAGGCACAGTATAAAATACTCTGATAGAGCCACATATAATTTCAGCTAGTTTAGAATGTTTAACAAAATATATGC